TTAACTTGCTGCCCACCTGGACTTCCAGGTCCTGTCACCCCCCAGCCTGTACTGGTGCATGGGGTTATTCCTCCCCAGGTACAGGACCCTACACTTGCCTTTGTTGAACCTCATTAGGTTCCTCTCTGCCCAACTCTCCAGCCTTCTGGTGTATCAGACACTCCGCCCCGTTTTATATCATCACCAAACTTGCTGAGGGTACACTCTGTCACTTTATCCAGGTCGTAGATGAATATGTTAAACAAGAGCAGACCCAGTACTGAACCGAGGGGAACACTGCTAGTCACAGGCCTCCAGCTGGACTCTGTGCCACTGATCACAACCTTCTGAGCTCTGACAGCCATTTCTCAGTCGACCTCACTGTCCACCCATCTAACCACACTTCCTAAGCTTACCTATGAGGATACTGTGGAAGACAGCGTCAAAAGCATTGCTGAAGTTGAGGTAGACAACATCCACTGCTCTCCCCTCGTCTACCCAGCCTGCCATGCCATCATAGAGGGCTTTCAGATTGGTCAGACATGATTTCCCCTTGACGAATCCATATTGACCACTCTCAATAACCCCTTTTTCTTCCACATTCTTAGAGATGACATCCAGAATGAGCTGCTCCATCACCTTTCCAGGAATGGAGGTGAGGCTGACTGGTCTGTAGTTTCACGGGTCCTCCTCCTTACCCTTTTCGAAGATTGGAGTGACATTGTCTTTCCTCCAGTCCTCAAGCACCTCTCCTGTTCAGCATGACCTTTCAAAGATGATGGAGAGTGGCTTAACAATAATATCTGCCAGCTCGCTCAGCACTCATGGGTGCATCCCTTTGGGGCCCATGGATTTATGGGTGACCAGTTTGCCTAAAAGATCTCTAACCAAATCCCCTTCTACCAAGGGAAAGTCTTATTTTCTCCAGACCTCCTCCCCTACCTCCAGGGTCTGGGATTCCTGAGGGCCAGCCCTAGAAATAAAGACTGAGGCAAAGATGGCATTCAGTAATTCCACCTTCTTGTATCGCCTGCCACCAGGGCACCGACATCATTCAGCAGCTGGCCCACCTTTTCCCTAATCTTTCTTTTGGTACCGATGAACTTGAAGAACTTGTTATCTTTGACATCCCTTGCCAGATTTAATTCCAAGGGTCCCTTAGCCTTCCTCATTGCATCCCTGCATACTCTGACAACGTTCCTATATTCCTCCCAAGTGGCCAGTCTCTTTTCTACATTCTGTAAACTTCCTTCTTCCATTTGAATTTTACATAGTTCCTTGCTCATCCATGCAGGTCTCCTGCTTCCTTTGCTTGATTTCTTCTTCATAGGGATGCACCAATCTTGATCTTGGAGGAAGTGGTGCTTGAATATTAACCAGCTCTCCTGGACCCCCCTACATTCTAGATCCTGAACCCATGGGATTCCTCCAAGCAGGCCTTTGAAGAGGCTGGAGTTATCTCTCTTGAAGTGCAGGGTTGCAGTCCTACTTACTGCCCTGCTTCTTCCACGCAGAATCCTGAAGTCTACCATCTCATGGCCGCTCCAGCGAAAGCTACCCGCAGCCTTCACATCCCTGACCAGTCCTTCTTTGTTATCACAAGGTGCAGCAGCACAGCTCTCCTCATTGTCTCCTCCACCACTTGTGCTCCTGAGTAGGCTGCAGCCCTGAGTTGGCTGCAGGTAGGCAGGAAGTCGGGAGGGGACACAGCCAAGGCAGGTGACCTGCGCTGGCCAGAGGTGCTTTCTATGCCATATGATGTCATGCTCAGCAGTAACAAAAGGGAGATTGGAGGGTGTCTTCTAAGATGGTTGGTGCTTGGAGGTTGGCTTGGCATTGGTCTGCTTGTGGGAGGTGGTGAGTGATTGCCTTTTCATCGCTTGGTGTTGGTTTGTTCAGTTTTTTTCCCTTCTCCTTTATATATTAAACTGTCCTTAAATTGATCCACAAGTTTTCTTGCTTTTGCTCTTCTTTTTCTCTCCCCTTGTCGTAACTGGAACCAGCTTTTGTTATTCTGTAACTACTTAACCTTCTTCTGAATTAACTAATTTAATTTGCTTTCCATTCTAGTATATCTGATTGGCTTGTGGCTACATGACATGTGGTTGATGGAGTATGTAAAGCTGGGATTTAGTGGCCCGGAAGGAACTGGATCAAACTGTTCTGTCTGAACGTCAGGAAACATTTTTCATTATGAGGGTGACCAATCACTGTCACAGGTTGCACAGAGGTTGTGGAATCTCCCGCAGTAGGGATGTTCAAAAGCCACCTGGACATGGTCCTAGGCAGCTGGCTCTAAGTGGCTCTGTTTGAGTGGGGGGTTGCCCTCCAGAGGTCCCTTCCAACTTCAGCCATTCTGGGTTTCAGTGTTGCTGGCATCCCAGGTTCCCGTGGCATTAAAACAAGGGGAGCTGTTTCCTTGCTAATCACCGTCTATAAAAGCGTCAGGGTCAACATTTTCATGTGCAAGTGAATGTTACTTGTACAATACTTCATTAAGAAATACTTACATATTCTGAAGAAAATGGGCTTCTCAGATGTCATTTTTACCCTGAGGAGTGAAATCTGTTGAGCTGAAATAGTGTGATGTTCCTTGATTTGAAAATGAAAGAAAACAGATCTTTAGGATTTTTCATTACACATTATAGCCTATAGAATTGGAAATCTTTTAAACTGTAAAAGCTTTTTAAAAAGAAAACTTCACTTCACATGCGAACAAAGATTGAACTAGCCCCTAAGCTACTTTTTTTATCACTGGGTATGATTGGAAATCTCATTACGGAAGCTAATGAGAAGTATGGAGGATAGCCATTCATGCTTTGGAATAAAATAAACAGAGAAATGATATGTTGGTAGTGCTGCATTTTGGCACTATTCAAATATGAGTGCCAAATTAAAATAGTCTTGATAAAAACTTGTATTTTTTTTTTAATGCTTTATTCTGTATGGGATCATGACTTTGAAACTGGCAGTATATTCACACTGTTCTCTAGGATATAACAGTGAGATGGAATACTTAAATTGCTTGCCTTTTGCATCTCTTAATTGCATTTTGAACATTAGAATGTACAGTAGAAGGGGAAAAGTGAAATATGTAGCTGTTTTCATCTTTTATCATGTTTACAAAGTGTATATGCAAGTCCATCTGTGGTCATTAAATTTTGATGTGATGTGAAGAGTATCACGTTTTCTTTGCTTATAATAAAACCTGATATCAAGACCTTGTTCAAAGTAACAAAATCATACTTAATTAGTTTTGGTGGGAATGGAACTGAGTTGCATTTGGAACTGAATGGTAAAATACCCTTTGTATTTACCCTGTTAATACCGACAAGTTCTTGTAGCTCTTAAAATAATGTCCACCAGTTTGGCTTTTATCATTAGAAATGTCCAGTAGACCATTACTGTGGTTCACAGCAAGAGCACGCAAAACTAGGAGTAAACCCTCCATCTTTAGATAGGATATTAGGAAAAATTTCTGTGTTGGAAGAGTAGTCAAACATTGGAACAGGCTGCCCAGGGAAGTGTTGAGTCACCAGCCCTGGAGGTGTTCAAAAACTGTGTTGATGGCTTGTAGATGTGGTTTAGTGGGCATGGTGGTACTAGGTCAGTGGTTGGACTTGATGGTCTTGGAGGTCTATTCCAACGTAATCATTCTATGATTCTTCACTGTGTGGTTTGTTTGGAGTTCTTTGGGGTTTTTTTGGGTGGGCTGGGGTGCGTGGGGAAGTATGTAAACTGTAAAACTGTCTGCTAACTAATCGTTATCAAGCTTTCCATGGTTTTACAAGTAGATATTTTAATTCATGATGTAAACATCATTTTGACTTTCTTATAAACAATACTATAGCAGTTTAATTTTCCTCTTTCAGTGGTAGTTCAGCCTCTTTCCTATTCAATGTGTCATACAGATTCAAGCTTTGTTTTCTATTTCTTGTGTATTTCTAGTTGAAAATTAAAAATTGTTTGTGTGTCTTTGCCCAGCATTCCAGTAACTAAAACACCTGATGTTAAAAGTACTTAATGCTGTGGGTTTAGGCAGAGGACACCCCCACCCATTAGAAAGTATATTGTAAGCATCCTTAAAGCTGTACTTGAAGCAGTAAACAAATTATACATTAATATTTAAGATCGACTTTGGAATTACAGCTGATGCTGTGTCTTTCCTGACTTAAAAGCACAACAGTTTGGTGCAAGTACTGTCAATGTAAAGAGTATTTCCATGTATATCCTTTTCCAACATACTCTAGGTTTCTGGAAGCTTGGGAATCTGTGATCATTGCCTAAGCTCCATTCTGAAGTTCTAAATTCCATTCTGACACACTGGAATGACCATTTCATGCTAGATGGAGGGGTAGGGGAAAACTTTTTTCAGTGTATGTATGACTATTTAAAAATTCAAACTCTGTGAGAGGTATAATGGGGAAAAAAACCCCAGACTTCCTTGTTTTTCAGTTTAGTGGCTAGATACATCTAGTTGTACAGGGTGTTCGAAATAGTTACTTTCTGTTTTGTATAACTGGTCCTTTAAATAAGTTGATTTAAAAGTTGTAGACCTCCTACTGGTTTTTTCATTACTATTATGATCTTAGGGATATACTTTAAACAGTGATCTAAACCTGACAAAACTAACCTTAAGTTAGTTTTCAGCATTGAGGATTTTCAGTTAATCTTGTAAAACGATCCCCAGACATCTCTGAATGCAGAATTAAAAAACAAAGATTATAAAGTGTCAGTGTACAAAAATCGTAAATATTATTAGGGAAAAGAAGTTTCGTATGGTTTAAAGCAAGCCAGATTCAACATCAATAAAAGAAACGGCAACAGAAGAAAGTAATGGAATACTGATCCTTTTTAAATAAATGACTAATAAGAAATAAAGTTGTTTCTCAAAAAATACTTCATTTAGTTTTATGCTGTGCTGTAGAGCAGTGGAGCCACCTGACTTCTAGACACTGCTGTAATACAAATAGTAGTCTACAGATGATGAATGATAAGTAATGATAAGTAATCTTTTTCAGCTGCCAGTTGAAGCCAGGATAGAAGTGACTAAGAAGGCTATTAAGGCAGTCAAACATCTTTCTGAGAAATCAAGAAAAAAAACTTCAGGAAATGAGATGGGAGATGCTGAAAACCCGTCCGTTGCTTATGAAGAAACTCTGAATCACTTGCAACAATCTCTTGCTCATCTGGAAACACTCACTCACTGTTTTATCACTTACTTGAAAAATAGTGAACAGGTAATGATTACTAATTAGGTAAAAACACTGTTTTGAGTGTTACCATGACTAGCAGTGATGGACATCAGTCTTCTGTCATATTTTATTAATGTTTTGTACCTTTGTGTTTGTTGACCTGGTTTTTGAAAATTCATTTTCATCAATCTTCTCTTGTTCATAGTATGTGTTAAATCATGGTAGAAAGAAAGACTCTGTATGATACAGCCCTGTAAATAAGAGTACATTGATTCATGTTCAAAAATTATCTGTTCACAGGATACACTACGGAAGTATGGCTATTTATATGATTTATCAAGGTCAGAGAAAGAAAAAATCCATGACCAAGCAGTAGCTATGTGTATAGATGGTCAACCCCTGGACATGATACAACAGTTGTTACAGGTGGCTGTTGGAGATCTAGGTCTTTCTCCCAAGGATATTGTCCAATGTGCTATTAAAAGAATTGTATGTATATTAAGGTAAGTACATTGCCACAGTTAAGCCCGAAAATATCTCTTCTGGGTTTTTGGTTTTTTTTTGGTTTTTTTTGGTTTTTTTGGTTGGTTAGGTTGGGATTGGTTGTATTTTGTAGTGAGTACTTGTTTGCTTTGAATGCCTGGATTTTGCAGAATTGGACAGTAACAGGAAATGCATTCTTGGATAGTTTATGGTCCTGTTTATCTATAATTTCATACTCAGATAAGACAGTTATATTTTTGTGAGTTTGGGAAGTCTGGGCAATCTGAACAAAGCAAGCCACAGAACTCATCCTATTCACTGGAGGGTGCTTTTCAATTGAAAACGTTGGCTTTACAATATTGCTCCGTTATGTGTGTGTGCGTACTTGTGAGTTTTTGGCAAATTGACAACTGCATATAATTCTTCCCTCTCAAACGAAGTCAAAAGGCATGTTTGTTGGAAATGGTGGGTAGCTCATGCAGGTGTTTGGGCAGTAGAGGCCCAGCAATGGCTGTTGCCAAAACAGGTAGTCCTACAGGAAGAAGTACAATTTCCATCTTTGGAATAACTTGCTGGGGTATTTCTGGGAGCTGTTTTTTGTGTGGGTTGGTTGGTTTGTTTGGTTTTTTATTTGCAAGGTTTTGAAAAATGTGTTTATCTATCATTAAAATGTAGGCTTTACATTTTTCTTCTTTGTTCTCATAAAGAATGCTTCTTAGAGTTTTTGCTCCTCTCCCACCTCGGTTTGCATCATACCCTACCTCCAAATTAAACAGCAGGTATGAGTGCTTTGTGCTTCCTGCAGCACTTAAAAGCAACAATGATACCCTAAAAATCCCCCGACCTGCTAACTTCTTGGAGAGAAACAGGTTTCTAATGTGAGGAAGGGGATTGCTGTGCTCGAGTCTTTCAGTGTTGTCATTGTTACTGCTTCTTGCTGTTATTAGTGTCATCATACTTATAAAGAATCCTACACACTGTACCAGAAGCAAGGCTTTGTCTCTTATCTTTTTCTGGGGTTCACAGACCCAAACCTCAGCAATTGTCTTTTCCATAACATGACACAAACGAGATAACCGGCCTGTTTATACAACTCCAGCAAACTGAGTTATCTCTTATTTTTAAATGATGAGAAATAGGCTAGGAGAACAGAAAATGCAAAATACCTGTCTTCCACAGAGTTTATACTTAAACATCCCTGAATAATTCTGTTGAGATCTGGGCAAGACCTGGATGATACAAAGGAAAATGAAATCCAGTTGATGCTGACCATCTTAATCTTGTTAACAGTGAGTTCAAAGTTTGTATTAACTCCAATACAATGATCTCGTAGTTGAATATATTCTTTATAGTCTTGCTTCCAAATTACAGTTCTAACACTTGTGAGAAACGGTCTAAAACTACTGTAGTCATGGTGCCTTTCTTCAGTACTAGCCGTGTCTTGGGCAAGGGAGGAGAGAAGAGTCCTGCATTGAAGTCCTGCCTGTTTGGTTAGCTGCAGCCTCTGTGCTTCATGCCTTACAGCCCAGAAGGGATATGCTTTTTCTTCACAAGTTTGAGGCTGAAACTGGTTTAGTTTGTCTGGCATTTGGGAGAATGTAGTCATCTCTGGGAATATAGAACTGTTAAAAATACCTGCTTATGGATGTGTTTACAGACATGGTGAGGATGTGGACACAGGTGGGGGAAAGCTAAGCACATGAAAAGCTTTTCAGTGAAATAAGGTGCTTTTCCTTGATTTTGTTTGATGCTCAGTTCTACCTCAGCTTGCTATTTTTTACCATGTTGTGTTAAGATTTGGTAAGCCATTTTGTAGCCGTAGTGATTGTCAAATTCCTTTGGCTTGTAATGTGAGACTTCAGCCTGTCCTTCAAGGTTCAACCTTTTTCCTGCTGCAGCAAAACTGAAGGTATTTATTAGGGTGGTGAAGTGACAGGGTTTGGGGACTCAAATGCATGGGACAAGTGTACATTGAAAATGGTTTCTTAGGGTTGAATGAGTCTGTGAAGGTGCCATTGCTCTTTAACAAGGTTTAGGATATGTGGAAGTCCATGGATTCTTGTAGCCAGATAAGAGCAACCTGTCCTTTTTCCTGCCAAGGAATTAGCAGCATTCTGACCCATGCCTTAGTGCGATGGAATCTGTACGTCTGTCTTGATGTTCTCTGTCAGAACGATTTACCCAAAGAGCACACTCAGTCCTCATTGCTGGGATGTGAATTTCTCAAGACAGCAAGCTGATAATGAAGTTCTGGGATTTTACATTTACATCCCTGTCAGTATTTCTGTTATGAGGATGCAGAGACCCTGAATTTTTTATTTTTTTTTTTCTGTCATTGTTGACAGAATATTAATGGGCTCTTAAGAATCCTTCTGTCCGTGATGATCTTTCTCCTTCAGAGCAGCATAAAAGTATTCATTTTGGCTTTTTTTTTTTTTTTTTCCCTCCGCTTCAGTCAGGTGAAATTAATTCCTCAGGGATTTTTTTTTTTTTTCGTTTGAAGAGGCCCTCTTGGATTTAATGTTGCTGACTGCTACCTGTTACCTGTTCCTGGATGGGTCATTGATGTACTGAGTATTCCAAATGGAATACCACTGTATCTATAACCTAGTGGTTTCAGTAGAAATATTTTCTCCACCCTCCCCCAAAAAATAGAGGGGGGCAAGCTGATTTCGTATTATCCGTGATAAATTAACAGATACTTCTTATTTAACTATTCATACAGAGCTCTCTTCTGAATTCCTTCTGTTCCAAAGAGATACATGCAACAAGTACGAAAGAATATTCCATTGTTAGATGGCTGCTAGACACTGTTTATCACTTCTAAGCCCAGTTTAGATAGATAAAACTTTGAGAATTTATTTTGTTCTTCTGCATGCAGAAAAATTATGTGAGTAGGATGATCTGAATGTACATACCAGAAACAGAGAAACAAGTCTAGCATGGAAAATAATCTATGGCTCTACCTTTTCTTCAGTATGTATGTGTATGTTACAGCAGATTGAAGTGCTACAGATGAAAAGAAGGCCGCCTGTCAAAGTGTCTGCAGTCCTCTTTAACAGAAAATTGATTTCTCCTGTCACTCAATTTAGGTCTGTTCATAGAATCCTCAGTGATGGTAGAGCTTTTGCACAGCAACTTAAGCAATACTGTCTTTCTTGTCCAGGTTTGTCCATTTGATGAAGAATAATTTGGCTTTAGATAATCACTGTCCTGCTATTTCTAACCGAAATATAACAGTGTGATGCATTTGGATATAAAGCTCACAAAGCCCAGTTATTTCAACTATAATGAGTCTCATTAACATGCAGAGTATGAGAAACCTATCAAAATTCTCCTTTTTACTCTGCTTCTTATCAACGTTTTTCTGTGAACTGAATTATTTTCTCTTTATATGCATTGCAAGGCTGGAATGTCTGCAAGTTGATTTAAAGTTCTGGAGCAGAGACCGTGACCAGCAACTCCTCTGCAGCACTTTCTAGTAAAGAAGGGAATGCCTGTCTCTCCAGTACAGAAAACTGTGGTGGCAAAGATGGGAGGATTAGTTGGAGGCTTCAGATAAACTCATTTGATGTGTGATGTGATCTGATGTAATCAGTAGAATTTTTTTTTTTTTCTTCTCTCCTCTTTGAGGGGAAGAGGAAGATCATTTCATATTATTCATAATAAATGAATAGATAATGAGCTATGGGAAGTTTGTCTACTACAGTGATAAACAGCATGAAGTGAAAATCTGGCATAAAATAAAACAGAAAATATTTGAAATAATATCCTTCCTATTATGAAATTCAGTAAGAGGATAATATAGAGTATCATCACTCTAAACATAGGGAGCAATTAAAAGAAAGGTTGTTGCTTGTCATCTCTTAAGTCTCCTGGTGTTAATGTTGTTGCTGTGAATAAAATTGGATGCATCTCTGTCCTACACTCAGATGTTGGCTTTCAGGCTAGACCATAACGCAAATTAAAACATATTAACCACATCTTGTGCAATACTTGCATTTCAAGGGTAATGGGCAACCAACAATTAAAGTAGTAGTCTTGCCTGTGCACCTGGAATGACATTTCAAGGGAAAACTCTTCAGGTTTATTTACTGGAGCTTTGATATGTTATACAGGGTGGTTATTTTATACAATAGTTTTGAAAGAGATCATGTTAGAAAATTCCTTCTTTGACAATTAACCTGCCTTCATTTTTCAACAATAAACAATATTATAGGCTTAAAAACTCTTGACAACTTCTCAGAAACAGACTTCATGTAAAATGTGACATAGTTTTTTGCCTAATATTAGGTACCTACATTGTCCAGTTCTGTTAACTACTTTTATCTCCCTTGATTCTCTAGTTCCGGCACACAAAATTCAAGTAGAAACTCATGCATTGGGATGTATAAAATCTCTCCAGCAGAGTATATCTGCATACTTTATGCAACATATGTATTGGGCACTTCTTCATTTGCCTATGGAAACAGCTACTATGAATAAAAATCAGTTGCCTTTTCAGTAGAAATCGTGAACTTCTTAAAAAAAAACACCAAAAACCAACCAACCAACCAAAAAAAAAAAAAAAACCAAACAAACCAAACCAAAACAAAAAAAAACAAAAAAACCAAGAAGATTTTGGTAATTATGGTAGTCTGGTTAGACTTCACTAAGACTGAATTTAAACCATTACCTAAGGACATTCACATGATAGACTGGAGACCTTCCATGATCCATGACTGTAGGCATGTTCATGGTTGGTTCGCCAGGGGAGACAGTTTGGCTATTGGAGATATTATGGCCTCCTTCGTTTGTAGCTCCTAAATTTCTTATTGTAGGTGTCCAGAAGGATGTAGCATTTAATGAAATTTTGGAAGTATTCACCAGGCAGTGAGCCGGAAAGGTTTGGTGAAATTTTGAGTTCTTGTTTAGTGTTCGGTGTTTCATTAAAAAGGTGAAACCAGCTTTATTAGACTGACTAGCTAATTCAGAAGGAAAAAAAAAAAATGGATTTTTTTACTGTCTCATCTCACTTGAGCAGGGGTCATACAGAGTAATTTTGTAACTTGGATTTTATAATTTCATGGTATTTCTGATGGAAACGATGATTTGGCATTATGACTTTTTTTCCCCAGCATTGAATGATCACACCAACAATGTATTATTTTCTTATTTTCCTGATATTTAGAGGAAATGCAAACAGAAAAAGGAAAATAAGGCTGGAGAAATAGGACAATATCAAGTATTTTTGGTGAATACTATAATTAGGTTAAAAGATTTAGATGAAGTTAATTTATTCTCCTTTCAAGCATTCTTTGTATTTTATTGTGTTTGAGGAACTTGATTAAATATGCATTACTCTCTCTGAAACTGAACTGAAATTAAAATAAGCCTTTATCAGTGTAATTACACCAGGCTCATACGTAGGAGTTTTGAGGTGATCACTGAATCCTGTTCTGTTGTTTAAAATAAGCATGAAATAGCATAATCTGTGTGGAAGACTAATCCTTCATTAATTATATTTGTTTCTGTTAGTAGCTGCTTATTTTTAATCATTAATTATTAAGAAAAGAACAAGGCAACAATCTGTGGAAACTTGACACGATTATTTGTCTCATGAGCTCTAATCTCTTTTTAGTTTCTCTAACCATTAGGCAGTAAAGGCAGTGTTAAGCTTAACAAAATGCAAGCTTTCAGTCTTTCTAGATTTCTTTCTAAAAATCTCTTATTCTAAATAACTGTAACTTACTGCTTAGAGTCACCTTTTTTTTTCTTTCCTCCTGCTTAGTAGAGTAGTACCTGCCTGTGTATGACAAACTTGAAGCTTTCTGTAAATGTTCACACATCTATTGTACTTGTGAACTGGCTTCACAGATGTATTCTCTGAAACAGTGGGTTTCTGTTTTCAGAAATGGCCATTAACATTTGTGTACATGTTACTTTTGACCCGAGGTTTTGGGGGTGGTTTTTTGGTTTGGTGTTTTTTTTTTTTTTTTTTTTTTTTTTGAAGTGCTCAGCCTGGTTGCAGTAAAAGCTAATGACTTTCATCTTTAAATAGGGAAGGGTTTTTGAAGAGCAAGTGCTAGGACTGTTCAGAATCAATCTGCAAAATCGAGGGTACCCAAAATATAAGATTTGCTGGCCAGTCTCCTTTGATACAGAAATTGCTTATGTACACTAAAGGGAATTTAGCTTAAGTAGAGCTATAAGATCTCCATTTCTGTAGTCCATGTCCTGTTCTTTTCTATTTCAATTCTCTTTCTTAGTATGCAAGCTTTACAAGTATTCTAGTTTTCTTTAGATATGCCATATTAATGACCTTTGATGTCTTTTTATTAGAAACTTAATTGAAAAAACAAAAAGCCTAATAATACAGGAAAATTTAGATCTGGCCTGTAAACAGAACATTAATGAAGTGGCTTATATGTGTGTTGGCTCTGAGAACATATCTTAAATTTTCTTAGGGGTTATTTTTTTTTATTTTAAAACAAATTTGAAACCATCTAATGCATGTAGCTGCTTGCATAAAATGATTACTTTAATACTGCTGTTCTGTTTCCACACTTCTGCCATACTGCTGTAATCTGTATTCATTCTTATTAAGAGATCATATAGGAAGAGGCTGACACTTTTAGTAGCAGAAGCACTTTGAGATGCTGATGAACTGTAGAGAAAATACATTTTATCTCTGGGTTTTTGAGTCATCCTTAATAAGCCAACTTGGAACTATTGGAACTATTTGCCTTTCTTTCTTCTTCTTTAATGCAGCATTGAAAAACTAAAATAGGCAAAACTTGTTTTTCTAGTTCATCCAGGCATCACTGCCTCTGCAGTGGTTTCCATGAGGAGACACTGTGTGCTTTATTGGAGTCCCGGTGCAAAATCCCTCACTCTTTCAGCACCAAGTCTCTCTTTTTGACCATGTATCCCCTACTTCTTAATTTTGTTGGTTCTGGTAGTCATGAACCTGGTTTATCCAATGGAAAATGAAGCCCAGAGTTGGGGAGGAGAGAGAGAAATCTGCTGAATCAGCAGGTAGGATTCTGTTGATTTCGTGTAACAGTCACTGGGTTTAAACCAATAGTGATAACTGCAAGATGATATTTGAAAAAGATAGTGTAACCTTTAATCTGTTTAGTTGATAGTGATGAGGTCTTTAAGGTAATGAGATTACATGTATATATTTTGCTGACCTAACCTGTATTAGAAGTGCTAAATTTTAACTATTCTTTTTCTTTTGAGTTTCCCTTAAGTATTTTAGTATTTCTCTTTCACACTCTTTTCTTGTTGCTCCTCACATTAGTTTGACATATAAATAAAGGTACTAATTAAGCAGGGGAAGTGGAAAATTGCTATAATTAGTGAACAATTCGTGTACATCCTACAGGTCGATAGAACTGGATATGATATTAGGGACCATTTTAATGGCAATTTTATGTGTTCCCTTAACAGTGGAAGTGGGGGCTCATCTACATCAGTTAAAGATCCACTTGGAATCCTGGAAGGCATCGTTTCTGCAGTGCATGCAAGTGTTGAGAAAGGGTAAGGATTTCCTGTATGGATTCTTTGGTTAAGACTGTGAAAGAGACTTTTCTTGAAAGTATTGAAGGTATAATACTGAATATGGATGATTTTTCTTCATGGGTATGTATAATGGGTTTGCACTTAATTTTCTAAGACTTCAGTCTGGAACAGGCTGTCATTTATCAGATTCAAAATCTTAGCCCTGACAGAAGCCTTCACTTGATCTGCTGGAAGAATCAAGTCACTCAACCTAAAATTTAGATAACTATGTATTATGGTGATTTGAGAAAAACTTTTTTCTACTGTGACTACTGCAGATTGTATTCACTGCTTTTGTTTCAGTTTAGTAGATAAATTACAGATAATAATGACTCACTTTCAGATATCTGAATTTAGATATCTAAATATGTCAATATTTGTAGGATATAGTACAGAAACAATTTCACAAATGCTGTGTGATGCTTCACCACATTTTTTTTCTCCTCTTTTGGGCATGTCCTTATTTCAGGTCACTTAATGGTCTGTATAACTCACTGGCATTTTCTGTTGAATTTCTAGTAAAGAAAAGGAAGGAAAAAAATCAGTTTTCTTTCCAGAAGTGCAAACTAAGAACTCATGTATGACAATAATAATAATAAAAACCCCATGGCCTGGTAGCCACACAAAAACAATTACACTGTTGCATGGAGGCTTTTCCACTGGCATTAAATTAGTTAAATATTGGATACTGAAGTAGACTGAATTGATTTAAAAATCTACAATAAATCTCATTTGAGAGCCTCTAAGGTAAAATGGGAGGGTTGGTACTATTTTATTCTGAAATGCACTTTCTGGAGTGTTTTATTTGTCTACTTCATCAACATTTAACTGCTGAAACAAGAGTGAAAGTCACTGTGATTACATGAGATTGTTTACATTCATTTAAATACTTGTTCTTATTTATCTCCTTAAACCTCAGCTATTCAATTTACAAAATATAAATCCTTCCCTCAGGAAAACATATATAAACATCGTGTGAAGTGTGACCTCTACAAAACTCTTGAAATATTTCAGCGGGTCCTCTTAATTCCCAAACTTGTTATTTATGATTTGAATGCCACCTGTTCAGCAGAGGCATGTCTAATTTAGCTGAAGTTCTGAGCTAACAGCATCATTTAGACAATATAAAGCCTAAGTAAAATTGAAATCCTTGTAATATGAAAACCTAAGCTGTCAATGTCTATTATTTCAGAGCTGCAAGACAGGTTAAATTGGTGTTTTCTGCCTGATACTACTTTCCCATCTGTCTTGTTAAGACAAATAAGGAAACATTAGTTATAAATCACACTCCACCTGGAATCACTTTCTTGGGTTTTTTTGTTTGTTTGTTTTGGGGTTTTTTTGGGTTTGTTTTTTTTGTTTGCTTGTTTTTTTTCAGAAGAAAAAATTAGCTTTAGTTTAAAACACTACTGAAAGATAGCAGAATAGCATTTACTGATTTGTTACATGCTAGTTCATAGCCTCCAAGGGACATAATGGATTATTCTGTCTGCAGCTGGTTGGTGAGTTCATGGTAACCTGTGTCTGTAAATGCTTCCAACAATTAAAATGTATTCAGTATAATACAGGTTTTGAATCAAATTGTTTAATTAAGAGTTTTTCTAATTAACCAAGTCAGGAAACCCCAAAGACTTAGGTTTTTTAACATCTATCTTTTCTTTCTAGGGATTATGGGCATTCTGCAATCATTATCATACTAGAACATAACAATAATCAAGCTGTCTATTGATGGTAGAGAAAAAATAAGAAATGGCTAGAGCTACCATCAGGAGAAAGTAATTTGTGTATGTGGAGTGTAAAGAAGTGACTTATAAGGAAAGAAAGAGGATATAGGGCAATATGAATAAGCATCAGATGTAAAAATGTCATACTTAAAATGCAAGCATTCAGACTGGTTTTCCATAAAGTCAGATGGGATGGAAGTACAGGCATCAGTCAGGACCAGACACCATAAAAAGGCTTGAATTTTCAGGTGCTGAAATCCAGCACCATTGCAATGCAATTGGCAGTCAAGGTGGGAGAATACGTAACTGTGTAGATGGATTTCCCTGGTATTACGTGGTTATTTGAAGTTCAGAAAAAGTTCTTTCACCACTTAGCTTTAGGCATTGTGATTTACGAGGGCTAGTTTCTCTGCAGCTCAGAGGTGAGCTCTTCCATTTCCAGTGTTATGTATTTGTTATGTATTGAATGTACTTGTTAACAGCTTTGAAAATACATGTGGTACTTTCATTAGGATTACCAAAGACTGTTTAATACAGTATTGTTTAATTACAGGGAGAAAGTAGTTTCTTCAGATGACCTTCTGGAGTGGCTGAGACCTTTCTGTGGTGATGACTCTTTAGCAGTTAAGCCTCGCATCAGAGTATTGCAAATTCTGGAGCAAGCCTTCCATCTCAGTGATGAGGATAGCAAGCTACTTGTGTACTTCCGGACGCAAGCAGTGCTCAGAGCTTGCTGGCCTGAAACAAAGGTATTAATATTGATTGCTATAAATGGTAGCATAAGACTGTTTCTATGCAAGGATTATACGATAAAATGCTGGGTTGTAATATATGGTTTCAATGCATCCTGTTCATAGGGGAACTAATCCTACCTTCCTTTTGAATCAGATTTCTAATACACTATGATTCTTTGAAAAACAAAGTTGTGTAGAGTAATGGACTCTTCAGCTTTTGTTTGGGGTCAGGATTACATAATACTGGACTCGATTAAACACTAACGATTTTCCTCCATGTCAAGCATTGACTTTGAAGATTTCGTATGTTCTTTTCTTACCATTTTTTGTGTCAATTTTACCTTCACTCTTTATCTTCTACTTGCTGTGGCATTATAGTCAGAATTAGAATGAGAATTAGTGGCCACTATCTCTTTTTTTTCTGGGGTCCTGTAAGTATTATTCCATGAATGTGTAGTAGGAACATAAGAACATTCTCAATTGGAAAGACTTGATTGTCAGGCAATGCATTCACTCATAGTCTGCTATTGTCTCTTAAGAGGCAGCACCTAACAACTGAAAGACAGTAGTTGCTTAAAAACAGTTCATATCTTTAACTGTCCAAGTGATAGTTTTAAGTCTTTGTCAGTGTAAAGTCAGGAATAAAATAAGGTAAAAATCATTGGTGAAAGAAGTTACTCTTAGCTATTTGTTTGTTTCCGACTGAGAGAGACAGAGTGCTTCTAGTTCAAGTTTCCAAGTCTAAACCAGATTAACTTTCCTTTTTAATTAAAGGGTGACAAAACGCCTAACTTTATATGTATAAGTAGAAGTTGATGTAAGACCGATAAGGATCATATAGTGAATGTTCTCAGGAGTGAAAATGCTCAAGTTGTCAGTAGAGTATTAATAATTTTATGCATACAAAAAAGCTCTCGTTGATTAATATTTTAACTACTTCATTTCATGACTTATTTTGGTGAAGTGATTAATATCAACATATGTATTTTTAGAGTTTCTACATTTCTAAGTACAGTGAAAATATACTGAAGGCTTAACAGAAAGAAGTAGTCTGGTCTTCGAAGCTTATGCCTTTATGAAATCATATGAGTATCACTTGCTGCATGTAGAATTGTTTAGAAGCAGAGTTAGTTTTCATCCATTTTCTAAATGCCTCCCCCTGTGCCAAGACCTTACGGAACTAAAATAGAATATTTCTAATAGTTCCTCAAAAAATTATGCACAAAACCATTTTGTATTCATATAAAACAAAAGCGATATCTCAGTTTTGACTCGCTGTGCTAAGATCATCCAAAGGAATAATCCTAATAAAAATCTTAAAGGAAAATGCTTATCTCTTGCTTTCTTTAGAAGTTACTTTTTCTCTTGCATTCAACCTAATACCAGCACTTAACTCCTCAACTGCTCTTCAGCTGTCTGTGTTTGGATTCCTCATCTTCAGTTCAATCCTTTGACAATATTTGTTGTTGCCTGTTTTCCAATCCAAAAGCATTTCAAGTCTAAAAGATTCAACTGGAGTATGTTTTAAGAAAAAAAGTTACAGGTAGATAATAGCTCTCAGCCATACCTGTATTTGACAGAAATCTTGTGAGACTCACTACACTTGTTAGGGAAATACATGAGATAAGGTCACTTTTATTTTCTCCTGTAATCTGGTAAGTCAAAATGTGTATAACTTTACGTCATGAAAATCCATTTGCTTTTGTCTCCTGACATTTTAGGAGTTAATTGAATGCATTGCATATGCTGCTGCTCGTGTGCAGCTCACTGCCCACCAGGACCCCCAAGGCCCTCTCAGCAGAGCTGCTCCCCAGTGTGGCTGTCCCCACCTGTGCTGTCCCAGGTGCAGCATGTCTGTTAAACCTGATGTGATTCTGTTGCCTCAATCTTCCAGCCTGTTTAGGTCTCTCTGTATAATCAGTTAATAATTGCTGTTTCCTGAAGTGGTGGATTTTCAGAATACTCCTGGTTTCAAGCAAGAAAGCATACTTGTTTTTTGTGGGGGAAGAAGTTTGTACAGACTATAAGCAGCATTCCATTTCTTCATAACAGTTGCTGATCACTTTAGTGCTCTACTCTCTTGCTGATTAGTAAGCAAATAGTGCAAGAAGCCATGCAGTAAAAAGCTTAGTAATGTGCTAGGTAAGCTCAAACTGTTCAGAGCTAATGGTATAAAAATGTGCATACAATACTGTAATATAAAATTCTCTGTATATTGTATATTCTATTTATTATTTAGCAAAGTTCAGAAATAGTTTTCATGCTTAGCAATAGTGAAACCTGGTCTTATATGTACACATAATTTTTTTTTTTTTTGGCCTGAGTTCCTACTACCGAGTACGGTTATTAGAGTCCTGTTGGAACATATTTAAAAATATTCTATTTTTCATGTCTGTTCAAGCTAAATGTGATAGATGAGAAATCTTTGTTTTCATTGAGTATTTTGTACTAGGTAACTACTGTGTGATTTAGACAGAAGACTCATATTGGTTTGTCCGTTACGTACCACTCATTGAAATTCAGAGGTCTTCGCAAGTGTCCAAGAAAACATTTTTTTTTTTCTCTTTTAGTCATTTGATGTCAAATGCTACTCTGTAAGTTGATATCAGAAAAAGCAAGAGATGACCTTATTTGATGATTGTTTGCTTATCTTGTGAATTAACAAACAGGGAAAATGGCGTAATAAAATAGCGTATTGAAAACTACATTTCACAGTCCTTCATGGTGTGTTAGTGAAATAAGAACACTGCAGAAGTCAGTAGTTACATGCCTGCTGAAACGCAAAGAGAGAGATTTGTGTATGAGCTTTTGGCAAAACATCAGTTAAGCAAGTTTCTCGTGCAAGTTAATGCTTTAGGTGCAGAGACCTTTGAAAGTAAGTCCATTCTACAGAGGTGGATGTTGAAGCACAATTTAAAAGTCTGATCGGGTTGCTGGGTTATCCTGGGTGAAGCAGGGTCAAAAAGTAGACATGAGGAATTACATCCTTCAAACGTGGGCTCAGACAGCTATGTCAGCCTGTCTGCCTTGTCTGCAGGCATCAATTTCTCTAGCATTACCATACCTTTATTAATTTGGTCCTCCATTCCCATCCAGCAAAGCAGTAGAAAAAAAAATCACATTTTAAAAAAGGGGGGGAGGGTGTGGATTGAGTGCTATTTTTAGTTTATAGAGGAACATGATTAAAGGTTATTGTTGGTTTGTTTTTTTTAAATGAACTTTAAATTGCAAATACTTCAAAACTGTACTTATTATCTTACTGCCAGCTGGTTTTATCCTTACTTGCTTGATATTTCTTACATGCGTTTAGGGGATCCCTCTTTTCCTTTACCATTCCTTGGTACAAAAAGGGACAGCAGATATTATAAAGGATGAATGTGGATTTCTATTGAGTAAAGATAAGTTTAATGATATTGCAGTGTTCAATTACCAGAAAATGTGTGAAAGCCACCCTCAGTGTGTCTACTAATCCTCTTAGTCAGACTTTGCATACATCAAGGAGGGACTTAATATTTAATTACGCTCGAGGTGCTGTAAGTAGCAGTCCCACAAATCAGTGTGCTGCTGGGAAACAGGCCAGCTCTTACAAAATTAAAAACGTACTTCGTGGAAGCAGCTACCTATCAAACAGTCAGAAACACAGTAATTTCCAGTTCTGTAATGATTAGTTAACAAAATTAAAAATTCAGGGGTCCTCAGTTTTCAAAGGTTTGAGAGACTTCAGTTCACATTCCAGTAACATCCCACGCTACTGGAGGGAGGAGGGATGTGTTGCTTTAATCCCCTTGATGAATTTTATCTGAGCTCTTCAGGTTCTGTAATTTTCTAGTTAACTGGTGCATGAAAAATATGGGTCAAAATACTGACTTTTTTATATATTAAAAAAAAAGTTGGGAGGGAAACATTGTTTAAAATGATCCGATCAAATTTTAGCTTTCTCCATCTAAGATGGGAAATCCACCTGTTTTCATGTATTATATAAAAATATAGTCTGTAATGACTCACAGCACTGTGTAACGTATGTAAGGTTATGTGTGTGTACGAAGTCGTTCAGTTCAGTGACCAGTTACAGGAGTTAAGGTTTTGCCCAAGGAAGTTACAGTGGCACTAACAAAGCTTCTGTAGGTAAACCAAGGGTTAGTTTAAGATAAGAAGTTAATAATTATGAAGCTACTGTATGACACACCTTGACTTAAAAGGATTGTTTAATTATTATGCAAATGCAAAATGTAATTTGCATGCCACTTAAATCTAAATAGCTTTGTCATTTAGCCTTTCCCCTCATATTGTTATATTATGTTTTTTTCATGATCTTGGGGTATACAGAGCTGCTGAGGGCTAAGCATGTTTGAAAATTGTAAGGGATATCTAATATGAATTTAAGGTGGTAATTTTAGGCACCTTTCTTTTACTTGTTTTTTTTTCCCTGAAGTTTGGCTTTGAAAACTGGCAGTACTAATTTGTATTTGTGTTGTGTATATCCCACACACATTTGCCCTTCCCTCATACAGGCAATTTGCATATGCCATATGCAAGTTTTATGTGTCTCAGCAACCTTAGTAATGTCTACGTTAACATTATGACTTTCTGAGTATTTGGGTATGGCTGTCAAGCCTCCGTTGCTCTTTTGTTCCGCTTCCCCCGGTATATGAAAACTGTGTATCTGTTTACATGATGTTTCTTCATATGGCTTCATAAAGAAAGGTCTCAGTGGGAATAAGTCAATGTCCTGCGATTTTTCAACTTTTTCCCATTCCCTCTACTTGTATCAGAGAGATTTAAAACTAAGGATTTGGAAAGCACAGTGAGATTTAATAATTCCCAAGTCATTTATCAGGTAGCAATAACCTGTATTTAGCTTGATCTGGCAAAATACAAGAGAAGGAGCTGTATCTGTTTAATCCTCAGCTATCTTTTATTTGTGAAAAATACTTAATTAGAAGAAAGATTTATGGTCCTATCAACTTTGAGTAAATTTGTTAGGATGTTGTTTATAATTCTAGAGACATTGTTTC